TCAATCAGTCATTTGTTAAGAAAATTTAAACATTCAGTCTGCATTAATAAAGCTACGAAACCTCAAAATGAACAAAAAAAAAAAAGATAAACAAACCAGGATTCGGACATTACAAGTAATGAAATGAAGTAACACGAACGAACAAACAAAAACCAACCACAAACTGCTGAAGGACATCCTTCTTGAACATTAGAAAATCATTACAAAAGACAGCTTGGAGTTTCAAAAAAAAAAAAGAATAATTTTAGAAACTTTTTAATTTCAAAATAGTTTGATTCACAAAATAGAAATTGTGAAGCAGTACAAAGTGCCCATATACCCACACTCAGCCTCCCCATGAATACATTAATGCGATGTATATGCCATAATCAATAAGCCATGTCTAGCTTCCTGGTTTTTTAGAATTAAGCAACAAGTCTGCAATATCATAAAGCTGTTAATAATAGTGAAGTAGTGCTCACATTTTACTCTTTTTAAATATGTCACAGAATTCAAATCACAAGTTGGATTCTCAATAATTCAAGTGTTCCACCTTGCACAATAAGGGTTTATCTGTTTTAAGATAAAAATCCCTCCAGACATGCATCCTCAAGTCCTCCATACTGCCATCCCTCCACTTACTCAGTGGGGGAGCTGGCTCTCCTGGAAATGACACAGTGATTGTCTTTGTCTTTAAAGATTTTTACATAGCCATTGCTGCCCCACTCTGGACCCCAGCTGTTCTTCACAAGCCAATGTTTAGTGATATTCCGATGTGTTCCTTCAAAGCCACAGCAGCCAACCAGCAGGATACCATGATCCAGTACAGCAGCTTTGCTGCTACGGCCTGGATTGTAATCCATGCCTGATTTATAGAACTGAGCTTCCTCTATTATTAGCAGCTTGTAGAGTATATTTGTCACAATTAATAAACCACATCTCTATTTTTCCAAACTCTTTCCATTCCTTCCACTGCTCTCCACCTGTAATAGTCAACTTCTGTGCTCAGATTGAGGTATTTTATTATTTTTAAAAGACATTTACTTATTTGAAAGTCAGAGTTACAGAGATAGAGGCAGATAGAGAGAAAGAGATCTTCTATCCACTAGTTCACTCTCCAAATGGCTGCAGTGGCCAGGGCTGGGACAGGCTAGAGCCAGGAGCTCTTGCCAGGTGTCCCACGTGGGTGGCAGGGGCCCAATCACTTGGGCCATCTTCTGCTGCTTTTCAAGGCCATAAGCAAGGAGCTGGATCAGAGGTGGATCACCGGGGCCAGCGCTGTGGCATACCAGGTAAAGCTACCGCCTGCAGTGCCGGCACCCCGTATGGGTGTTGGTTCGAGTCCCGGATGCTCCTCTTACAATGCAGCTCTCTGCTATGGCCTGGGAAAGCAGCAGAAGATGGCCCAAGGGCATCCCTGCGCCCGTGTGGGAGACCCGGAAGAAGCTCCTGAATCCTGGCTTCAGATCAGCGCAGCTCTGGCTGTTGCAGCCATCTGGGGAGTGAACAAGTGGATGGAAGACCTCTCTCTGCCTCTGCCTCTCTGTAACTCTCTGTCTTCTCACTAATAAATAAATCTTAAAAAAACAAAAATGAAGACGTGGGCTCTGCTCTGGCCATTGCTGTCATTTGGGGAGTGTACCAGTGGATAGAAGACCTCTCTCTCTTTCTCTCTCTCTCTCTCTGCCTCTGCTCTCTGTAATTCTGCCTTCCAAATAAATAAATCTTTTTTAAAAAAGTAAAGTTCACAAGGGTAAAACATTAATCTATACTGTCAAGGAATTATGTGTAATTTTATTATAGAAAAGACTACAGTGTAATATTTGGTTATAAAGTTTAAGGATGCATCCATTCGTAATTCAATAAATAATAAATGTTGGTTGAATATTTTCAATGGGAGAGGTGCTAAACTGGTGTGAAGCATGCCAAAGTCAGAAAGAACGGCCGTTTGCTTCTAAAGGACAGGCAAACAACCGTAATGCAGTAAGATGTTGTCTTTTTGCTGATGCATAGCGTGCTGATGGAGCAGAGAGAGAACCTAAAGTCTATTCAGAAGAGACAGTGAAGGCCTCACAGGTTTCCAGCTGACTGAGAACTAGAGGCAGAACAGGATTCTGTTTGGTGAGCAGCTGAGATAGAAGACTTATGGTAGAAACTTCAAGTACTCTTGCATGTTTGGTTCTGTGTCCTTCCCGGCACAAAGAGGACCATACTTACTCAGTCTTTTTTTTTTTTTTTTTTTGACAGGCAGAGTGGACAGTGAGAGAGAGAGACAGAGAGAAAGGTCTTCCTTTGCCGTTGGTTCACCCTCCAATGGCTGCCGCGGCCGGCGCGCTGCGGCCGGCGCACCGCGCTGATCCGATGGCAGGAGCCAGGAGCCAGGTGCTTTTCCTGGTCTCCCATGGGGTGCAGGGCCCAAGCACCTGGGCCATCCTCCACTGCACTCCCGGGCCACAGCAGAGGGCTGGCCTGGAAGAGGGGCAACCGGGACAGAATCCGGTGCCCCGACCGGGACTAGAACCCGGTGTGCCGGCGCCGCTAGGCGGAGGATTAGCCTAGTGAGCCGCGGCGCCGGCCCATACTTACTCAGTCTTGAGTGGTCTGGCAGAGCTATGTAACTAGTTCTGGTCAATGAACTAAGGATAGAAATGTCATTTTTTGGAACTGATGTTGTGGCACAGTGGGTAAAGCTGCTGCCTGTGAAGCTGGCAACCCTTATGGGCACTAGTTTGAGTCCTGGCTGCTCCACTTCCCATCCAGCTCTCTGCTATGGCCTGGAAAGGCAGTGGAAGATGTCCCAAGTCCTTGAACCCCTGCACCCATGTGGGAGACCCAGAAGTTCTGGCTCTTGGCTTTGGCCTGGCCCAGCTGCAGTCATTGCAGCCATTTGGGGAGTGAATCAGCAGATGGAAGCTCTCTCTCTCTCTGTGTGTAAGACTACCTTTCAAATAAATAAATCTTAAAAAGTAAAATGGAAATGTCATTTCTGAAGCATTTAATTGCTGCTAATATTCAATGGAAGATTCCAGAAATAAACAATTCAGTACTTTTAAATTGGGTACCATTCTGAATAATGTGATGAAATCTCATGCTATTTTGGTTTATTCTACCCAGGATGTGACCTGTCCCTCTGTCCAGTGTAGCCACACTGTATATGCTACCTGTCCGTTAGTCACTTTGTCCACTCAGTTATCAGATCAAATGTTTTGATACCACAGTGCTTGTGCTTAAGTAATTCTTACAGAGTAGCCTAATGTTATGTCATTATGCTTGCTATTCGCCCTTCATTTCATCATGTGAGCATTGTATCATTTTACATCTTCACAGGAAGAAGAAAGGTGAGTTTAGCACAATTAAATATTTTCAGAGAGACCACATTCACATAACTTTTATGACAATATATTGTTATAGTTATTCTATTATTTGTTGTTAATCTTGTTCTGTGCTTAGTTTATAAATTAAACTTTAGGATATGTACACATGTATAGGAAAAATATATAGGTAGGTTTTATGGCCCTTCATTTTACTGCTTTTTTACAAAGTGAAGGCCTGTGGCAATCCTGCACAGAATAGGTCTACCAGTCCCATTTTCCCAATGGTTTGTGATCACTTCATGTCCCTGTGTCATGTCCCATTTAGGTAACTCTCAGATCATTTCAAGCTTTTTCATTTTACTATGCTGATCTGAGATTAGACTTCCCTACTGTAATTGTATTGGGGTGCCATGAACTGCATGCATAGAAGATGGTAAATTTCACAAGACACATGTCTTGCTTTAAATGTTAAAGTTAAAAAGGGTTAAACGGGCTGGTGCTGTGGCGTAGAGGGTAAAGCCGTCGCCTGCAGTGCCAGCATCCCATATAGGTGCTGGCTCAAGTCCCAGCTGCTCCACTTTCAATCTAGCTCCCTGCTAATGGCCTGGGAAAGCAGTGGAAGATGGCCCAAGTGCTTGGGCCCTTGCACCCATGTGGGAGACCCGAAAGAAGTTCCTGGCTCCTGACTTTGGATCAGCCCAGCCCCAGCCATTGCAGCCATTTGGGGAGTGAACCAGAGGATGGAATACCTCTCTTTCTTTCTTTCTCTCTCCTTCTCTCTCTCTCTGTAACTCTGCTTCTGAATTAAATAAGATAAATCTTTAAAATAAGGATTAAATTTAGTGAAGAAGTCATGTTGAAAGCTGATACAGACTAAAATCTATGCCTCTTGTTCCAAACAGCAAGCTTTCAATGCAAAGGAAAAGTTCTTCAAGAAATTAAAGATGCCATCCCAGTGAACACAGGAATGATAAGAAAGCATCATACTTATGAAAGCATACTGCTGATATGAAGAAAGTCTTAGTGGTCTAGACAGACAATCAGTCCAACCACAACATTCCTTTAAGTCAAAGCTTATTCCAGAGCAAGGCTTGGACTGTCCTTAGTTTCATGGGGACTGAGACAGGTGGGGGTAGCTGCAGAAGAAAAGTCTGAAGTTAGCAGAGCTTGGATCATGAGGTTTAAGAAAAGATACCGTCTCACAACTTCAAAGTGCAAAGTGAAGCAGCAAGTGCTGATGTACCACAGGCAGCAGGTTATGCACAAGATCTTGCTAAGATCCCTGATGGCAGCGGTTGCTTTAAACAGATCTCAGTGTTGATGAAACAGCCTTCTACTGGAAGAAGACGCCACCTAGGACTTTCATGGCTGGAGAGAAGTCAGACCTGGCTTGGAGGCTCCCAAGGACAGACTGACTCTCTTGTTAGGGGCTAAAGCAGTTGGTGACTTTAGCTTAAAGTCAATGTTCACCTACCATTACAGATGTCATAGAGCCCTTAAGAATTACAGTAACTCTATTCTCGTGCTATACAAATGGAACAACACAGCCTGTATGACAGCACATTTGCTTACAGAGGTGGGGAACCTTTTTACCACCAGGGACCATTTGCATATTTATAACATTAGTTGTGGGCCATATAAAATTATCAACTTGAAAATTAGCGTGCTTGGGGTCCAGCGCTGTGGCGTAGCGGGTAAGGCTGCCGCCTGCAGGGCTGGCATCCCACATAGGCACTGGTTGGATTCCCGGCTGCTCCACTTCCCATTCAGCTCTCTGCTATGGCCTGGGAAAGCAGTGGAGGGTGGCCCAAGCCCTTGAGATCCTGCACTCACGTCGGAGACCCGAAAGAGGCTTATGGCTCCTGGCTTCAGATTGGCACAGCTCCAGCCATTGTAGCCGACTAGGGAGTGAACCAGAGGATGGAGGACGCTCTCTCTCTTTCTCTCCCTCTCATTCTCTCTCTCTGTGTAATTCTGACTTTCAAGTAAATAAATAAATCTTTAAAATTAGCCTGCTACAGATTTATTGAATTTTGAGTTACACCTGTGGTTGCTTTGGGAGACACAGTCCAAATGATTTCTCAGGCCTTATACATTCTGTGGGCTACACATCCCTCATCCCTGGTATACAACATGGTTGCCTGCATATTTTAACTCTACTGTTGGGACTTATTGCTGAGAAAAAAAACATTCCTTCCAAAATATTACTAGTTCTTGATAATGTACCTGGTTACTTAGGAATTGTTATAGATGTATAACAAGATCAGTATTGTTTTCATGGTTGTTAATACAACACCCATTCTGTAATCCACAGAACAAAGAGTAAGTTTGACTTTCAATCTGATGATTAATACCTTAATGAGGAGTTGCTTCTTATGAATGAGCAAAAAAGTGGTTTCTTGAAATGCAATCTACTGGTGTAGATTCTGCAAATATTGCTGAAATGACAACAAAGTATTTAGAACATTATATACATTTAAAGAGCAGTGTCGAGGCCGGCACTGTGGTGCAGGTTAATCCTCTGCCTGTGGCACTTGCATCCCATATGGGCACTGGTTTGAGTCCCAGTTGCTCCTCTTCCAATCCAGCTTTCTGCTATGGCCTGGGAAAGCAGTAGAAGATGGCCCAAGTGCTTGGGCCCCTGCACCCACGTGGGAGACCTGGAAGAAGCTCCTGACTCCTTGGTTTGGATCAGTCCAGCTCTGGCTGTTGCAGCCATTTGGGGCATGAACCAGCAGAAAGAAGACCTCCCTCTGTCTCCTCTCCCTTTCACTGTCTGTAACTCTACCTCTCAAATAAATAAATAAATAAAATCTTAGAAAAGAAAAGAACAGTGTCAGTTTAAGAGAACTGCCACGAATTTCCTTTTAATATTTATTTATTTGACTTATTTGAAAGGCAGAGAGACAGAGAAACAGACAGAGATCTCCCACCTGCTAGATCATCGTCCCTATAACAGCTGGGGCTGGGCCAGGCTGAAGCCGGAGCTGAGAACTCAATTTGGGTCTCCCAAGTAGGTATCAGGGACCCAAGTACTTGACCTGCTGTCTCCCAGTGTGTGCATTAGCAGGAAGCTGTAATAAGAGGTGGAGCCGGCACTTGAACCCAGGCACTCTAATTTGGGAGGCAGGCATTCCAAGCAGCATCACAACTGCTGTGCTCACTCCTGACTCATATTTTGAAAGAAGTTCGACTCTGCATAAGATGCTATCAAACAGCATCACATGCTACAGAGAAATCCTTCATGAAGGGAAGAGTCAATCAATTCCACAAACTGCCACTCTCTTATTTTAAGACATTGTCGCAGCCACTTCTGTCGCTCCCCCTCTTCGTGGAGGAACGACACTAAACCCTGCGCTGTTCTTTTGTCTGCTCGGCCCTCCCCGGGTTTGCTGCTGGTTCTTCCCGGGTTGGCTACCGACCCTTCCACCTCCGTGGAAGGGCGGTTCCCCCTGCCACTTTCCCCACTTCCGCGGGGAAGCGGCACACCGCCGGCCGGCTCTCTCGGGGGCTGCTCAGATGTTCCTCAGGTGTTCCCGTTAGATGTTCCTCTTAGATGTTCCTGGTGCATGTTGTCTCTCTCCTCCTTTATAGTCCTCTTTCACCAATCCCAACTCTGCTACCCACATGCCATGTACGCTGCTCTCCTCCAATCAGGAGCAGGTCCTGCTGTTTATTGGTTGAACTGGAGGCAGCTGTGTAGAAGCTGTTTCCTCCTCTCCCAGCGCCATATTGTGGGAGAGCAGATGCATAGAATAAGTCTTAATTCCAGTAACTTAGTCTAGTCCGAGTTGCTCCCAGTTGCTCCCCACAGATCCCCCTTTCTTTTTATTTTTGGCGTTGATACGCGCCTGTCTTCGGTGCCCCACGGCACACACTCTGCTCTGCTTGCTAGAGTTGCCCACAGGTGCTTACAAGCCCTACCAATCAGGCAAACCGAATCCGGGTCCTCTCTTCGCCATGTTGTGAGGAGGTTTTTAGGCGCTGATGCGTGCCTGTGTTTGGTGCCCTGCAGCGCATGCTCTGCTCTGCTAGAACTGCCTGCAGGTGCTTACAAGCCCTACCAATCAGGCAAACCGAATCCAAGCCTTCTCATTGCCGTATTGTGGGGAGACTTATTGGTGTTGATTCGTGCCTATCTTTGGTGACCTGCAGCTCATACTCTGGTCGAGCTGCCTGCTGGTGCTTATCGCCTTACTAATCAATCAGACCGAATCCAAGCCTTCTCATTGCGGTATTGTGGGGAGACTTATTGATGTTAATTCGTGCCTGTCTTCGGTGACCTGCGGCGCATAAGCTGCTAGCCGCCCGCAGGTGCTCACCACCTCCCTAATCAGGCAGACCGAATCCAAGCTCTCTCATTGCCATGTTGAGGAGAGGCCTTATTTTTCTCTATTTCTCTATCTCCAGGCATTCCTATCTTTCCTATTTTACTTCTATCTACCAGCATTCCTATTTCTCTCGTTTTACTTCTAAACTTCTGTTTCTCTTATCCCTGCAGCTTCCCGGCGCCCGACCCGAGGCTGCTTCTCGGCAGCTTCCCAGCTCTGAGCCGCTTCAGCCCGCGCTTCTCTCATCTGCGTGGCTTCCTGGCTTCGCGCGCGCACTCCACGGTCTCCGCGCCCCTTCGCGCCCACACCACGGCCTCGCACTAGCCCTGGGTTCCCTATCTACTTGTGCCCCGCGCGCTCTCTCTGCCCGCGGCGGCTTCCACGAGTCACACAGCACAGCTCACATTTCCGCCACCGGTATTCAGTCCAAGTTCCCTGGGCTAACCTGGCGAATTCAACCTAGCCCACGCTTCTGCCTCACGGTTTGGCTTCCCGTCTTTTGCTCCCCGGGCTAATCTGACGGATTCCAACCTGGCTTACGCGTCCACCTCTAGTTTTAGCTTTTCGCCTTTTGTTCCCCGGGCTGACTTGAAGAATTCCAACATAGCTTACGTTTCCGCCTTGGCCTGCCCCCGCAGCTTCAATTTCCCTAACATTTTTCTCTACCTGGTATGTTTCCCTAAGTTTTCTTCCAACAATATTCTCCTCTCATTTCTCCTGGCCTCTCCCCACAGTCCGTATCCAAGTCTGTTTGTTCTAGCTTTCACTTTCGCTTTCGACCTTAGAGATTTCTCCCAGCTTCCCCCCGTAGTCCGTATCTGAGTCTATGCCTAGGCTTTCAATAGCTTCTTCCGGCACCTTTTCCGTCCGGCTTTCCCCTAGGCTCTTTGCTAGTCTCTCTCTCCGGTATTTTCCCACTTCTTCCCGCTTCTTCCCTCCTAGGTTTTCTATCCGAGTCACGGCACCATTATGTCGCTCCCCCTCTTCGTGGAGGAACGACACTAAACCCTGCGCTGTTCTTTTGTCTGCTCGGCCCTTCCCGGGTTTGCTGCTGGTTCTTCCTGGGTTGGCTACCAATCCTTCCACCTCCGTGGAAGGGCGGTTCCCCCTAGCCACTTTCCCCACTTCCGCGGGGGAGCGGCACACCGCCGGCCGGCTCTCTCGGGGGCTGCTCAGATGTTCCTCAGGTGTTCCCGTTAGATGTTCCTCTTAGATGTTCCTGGTGCATGTTGTCTCTCTCCTCCTTTATAGTCCTCTTCCACCAATCCCAACTCTGCTACCCACACGCCAAGTACGCTGCCCTCCTCCAATCAGGAGCAGGTCCTGCTGTTTATTGGTTGAACTGGAGGCAGCTGTGTAGAAGCTGTTTCCTCCTCTCCCAGTGCCATATTGTGGGAGAGCAGATGCATAGAATAAGTCTTAATTCGAGTAACTTAGTCTAGTCCGAGTTGCTCCCAGTTGCTCCCCACAACTTCAAGCTTCAACAATACAACTCTGATCAATCAACATCCATCACCATCAAAGCAAGACCCTCCACCAGCAAGATTACAACTCACCGAAGGCTCTGTGGATTGCCAGCATCCTAAATCAATAAAATATTTTCAAATTAAGACACACATGGTCTTACATATGCTGTAGACTTTGGTATAATTTAAATGTAACTTTACATGTTTTGAGAAATCAATTTGTGTCAGTTGCTTTATTGTGATGTTAACTCCACTGCAGTGGTCTGGAACCAGATCTGCAATGTCTCTGAGGTCTGCCTGTATAATAGACAGTCTACAATGCCTCATTTCAAAAAAATTGCCAAACATATTACACAGCAAAGGAAGTGTGGGAGCAAAGTTTCACTGAACAAAGGTAAAGTTCAACAGTAAAGTAACAGTTTTAGTTATGCATCATTAGGGTTGAATGACAGATGAAACATGTATTATAACAATACCTCAAATCAAAGTGGGGGTGGGACAGAGCTATGTAAGAATGCCCATCAACAGTAGACTAGATAAAGAAATTATGGGACATGCACTCTATAGAATACTATACAGCAGTCAAAAACAATGAAATCTGGTCATCTGCAACAAAATGGAGGAATCTGGAAAACATCATGCTGAGTGAATTAAGCCAGTCCCAAAGGGACAAATATCATATGTTCTCCCTGATCAGCGACAACTAACCAAGCACCTGTTGAAGTGAAATGGACACTATGAGAAACAGAGATTTGATCAGCCCTTGTTCTGATTGTTGATGTACAATTTAATACTTTATCCCTTTTAGTACTTTTTTTTGTTCTGGTAAATACTATATATTGGTTGAATGTGGGGAGCAACTGAGACTAGACTAAGTTACTGGAATTAAGACTTATTCTATGCATCTGCTCTCCCACAATATGGCGCTGGGGAGGAGTAAACTTCTATGCAGCTGCCTCTCGCCAACTTGACGGATAAACTGCAGGAGCTGATCCTGCTCCTGATTGCAGGAGAGCAGCGTGCTCGGTGTGTGGGTAGCAGAGTTGGGATTGGTGGAAGAGGACTATAAAGGAGGAGAGAGACAACATGCACCAGGAACATCTGAGGGAACATCAGAAGGAACACCTGAGCAGCCCCCGAGAGAGCCGGCCGGCGGTGTGCCACTCACCCGTGGAAGCGGGGAAAGTGGCAGGAGGAGCAGCCCCTCCACGGAGGTGGAGGGGTCGGCAGCCAACCCGGGAAGGACCAGCAGCAAACCCGGGAAGGGCCGAGCAGACAAAAGAACAGTGCAGGGTTTAGTGTCATTCCTCCGCGAAGAGGGGGAGCGACAGTTGAACTCTGTAATTAACACACAATTATTCTTAGGTGTTTAAATTTAACTGAAAAGTGATCCCTGTTAAATATAAGAGTGGGAATAAGAGAGGGAAGAGATGTACAATTTGGGACATGCTCAATTGGACTTGCCCCAAATGGTGGAGTTAGAAATGTGCCAGGGGATTCCAATACAATCACATCAAGGTGGCATGTACCAATGCCATCTCACTAGTCCAAGTGATCAATTTCAGTTCACAACTGATCATAATGATAGGTCTGAGAGTCAAAGGGATCACAAAACAAGACTAGTGTCTGCTAAAACTAACTGATAGAATCAAAAAGGGAGAGAACGATCCAACATGGGAAGCGGGATACACAGCAGACTCACAGAATGGCAGATGTCCTAAACAGCACTCTGGCCTCAAATCAGCCCTTAAGGCATGCGGATCTGGCTGAAGAGCCCATGAGAGTATTTTAGGCATGGAAAGCCAAGACACTCTGGCAAAAAACAAACAAACAAAAAAACTTAAATGAAAGATCTCTGCGAGTGAGAGCCCAGTGGAAAGAACGGGGCATCAAAGAAGGAGGTACCTTTCTCTGAAGGGAGGAGAGAACTTCCACTTTGACTAGGACCTTGTCTAACTAAGATTGGAGTCGGCGAACTCGAAAGGCTTCCTTAGCCTTGGCAACTCATGACCAGAGCCTAGGGAGATTACTGACACCATAAACAAGAGTGTCAACTTGTTAAGTCAACAACAGGAGTCACTGTGCACTTACTCCTCATTAGGATCTCTGTCCTTAATGTGTTGTTCAATGTGAATTAATGCTATAACTAGTACTGAAACTATTTTTCACTTTATGTTCTGTGTGGGTGCAAACTGATGAAATCTTTACTTAATATATACTAAATCAATCTTCTCTATATAAAGATAATTGAAAATGAATCTTGATGTCAATGGAAGGGGAGAGGCAGCGGGAGAGGGGAGGGTTGTGGGTGGGAGGGAAGTTATGGGGGGGAAAGTCATTGTAATCCATAAATTTTACTTTGGAAATTTATATTTACTAAATAAAAGGTTTTAAAAAAAGAAAGCCATGGACCAATATTTCTTATAGAAATTGATATAAAAATCCTCAAAAAATACCAGCACACTGAATGCAGCAACACAGGAGAATAATCACAGGGCAGTGTTTGGTGCAGCAGTCAGGACACGGCTTGGGACACCCGTATCCGACAGTGGAATGCCCAGGTCAGGTTCTGGCTCTGCTGGTCCTTCCAGCTTGCTGCTAATAGGCACGCTGGGAGGCAGTAGGTGACGGCTCAAGCACTTGTCTTCCTGTCATCCCAGATACAGCTGTTGTGAGCATATGGAGTAGTGAACCAATAGATAAAAGACCTGTCTATCTGTTTCTTTCTCTGCCTATCTTTCAAATACAATGCAAACAAATATGCAAAAATTAAAAAAATATAGACTATGACCCAGTGGGATGTAACCTAGAAATGTAAATTTGGGTTAATATCATCGTATAAATAAAATGTACAGATTTTAAAATTACATGGTAAACGACATAGATTCAGAAAAAGCATTTGGAAAAAAAAAATCCAAACCACTTTCATGATGAAAACATCCAAGGGTTTTCCTAGGAATTGAAAGAAACATCTTCAGTCTGATAAAGGACACCCACAAAAACTCACAGATACTGTCACACTTCATGAAGAAAGACTAGATGCTTCCCCGCAAGACCAGGAACAGAACAAGGATGTTCCTTCTCACCCCTTCTAGCCAGTATTGTACTAAGGTGCTAGCCAGGCCAATTAGGCAAGAGAAAGAAAGAAAAGGCACCCAGATTAGAGAGAAAGAAGCAAAACCACCTCTAACCGTGAATGACATGATTTTGTATGTAGAAAATTCTAGGGGCCAGCGTTGTGGCGTAGTGGGTTAAGCTGCTCCTTGGAATGCTGGCTTCCCATATGGGTGCTGGTTCAAGACCCAGCTGCTCCACTTCTGATCCAGCTCCCTGCTAATGTGCCTGGGAAAGCAGCAGATCGAGGTCCAAGTGCTTGGGCCCTTGCACTCATGTGGGAGACCTGTATGAAGCTCCTGGCTCTGGTCTGGCCCAGCCATGGCCACTGCAGCCATCTGGGGGAGTAAACAAGAGATGGAAGACCTCTTTCTGTCTCTCTGTAATTCTGACTCTGAAAATAAATGAATAAATCTATAAAGCAAACAAAAAAATCAAAAGAAGAAAATCCTGGAGAATCCACTTAAAACTCTTGGAATTATAAATGAGTTCAGCAAAGTTGCAGCACACAGAATCAATATATAAAATTCAATTGTATTTCTATACATTTCCAATGAGCAATTCAAAAGCAAATATGAGAAAATAATTCATTTTACAATAGCACAAGAAAGAATAAAACACTTAGGAATAAGTTAACCAAAAAAGCTCAGGAGCTTGCATTGTTGGTGCAGTGGGTAAAGCTGCTGCCTGCAATGCCAGCATCCCATACTGGAACAGTTCAAGTCCTGGCTACTCCACTTCTTATCCACCTCCCTGCTAATGTACCTGGGAAAGCAGTGGAGGTTGGCCCAAGTGCTTGGGCCCTGCCACCTGTGTGGGAGACCTGGAAGAAGCTCCTGGCTCCTGGCTTCAGCCTGGCTCAGCCCTGCCCATTGCCAGTGGATGGGAAACCTCTCTCTATATATCTCCCTCTCTGTAATTCTTTCAAATAAATAAAATAATTTTTTTAAAAAAGCTCAAAACTAGCCCTCTGAAAACTACAAACTATTGTTGAAATAAGTTAAATATCTAAATAACTGAAAACTGTAAAACATTGCTGAAAAAAATTAAAGCACAAAAATGGAGACATCTTGTGTCACATATTAGAAGAATCAATATTAAAATGCCCATACTGGGCCGGCACCGCGGCTCAATAGGCTAATCCTCCGCCTTGTGGCACTGGCACACCGGGTTCTGGTTCCGGTCAGAGCGCCGGATTCTGTCCCGGTTGCCCCTCTTCCAGGCCAGCTCTCTGCTGTGGCCTGGGAGTGCAGTAGAGGATGGCCCAAGTACTTGGACCCTGCACCCCATGGGAGACCAGGAGAAGCACCTGGCTCCTGGCTTTAGATCAGTGTGGTGCGCCGGCCACAGAGCACCAGCCACGGTGCCCATTGGAGGGTGGACCAACGGTAAAGGAAGAGCTTTCTCTCTGTCTCTCTCTCTCTCACTGTCCACTCTGTCAAAAAAAAAAAAAAAAAAAAAAAAAAGGGCACTAAGCCACCCCCCAAAAAAACAAAACCAAACAAAAAACTCTGAGTAGCCAGGAGGCGTCGGGCGCCCCACGCTCACACCCACGCGCGCCACCTCGCATGCCTGCGTTTGCTCAAGATGTTTCTTGAGCAAAAAAAAAGTAGGAGGCTGGAGGCTGGATTCTCAATGTTTTCACCACAAAGAACTGATAAAAGTTTGATTAGATAGATATGCTTACCCTGATTTGAACATTATACAATGTGTATATATATCAAAATATCAATGGCCCATAATAGGTAGAATTAAAATACATCAATTAAAAATTGTCACATGTTCATAGGTCATTTCCATCATTAAGATAACAATATTCTCTCAGGGCTGGTGCTGTGGCATAGCAGGTTAAGCCTCCACCTACAGTGCCAGCATCCCATATGGGCACCAGTTCAAGTCCCACTGCTCCACTTCTGATCCACCTCCCGGCTGATGTTCTAGGAAAGCAGAAGATGGCCCATGTGCTTAGGCCCCTGCACCCATGTGGGAGACCCAGAAGAAGCTCCTGGCTCCTGGCTTCAGACTGGCCCAGCTCCAGCTGTTGCAGCCATTTGGGGAGTGAACCAGTGGATGGAAGGTCTCTCTGTTACTCTGCTCTCAAATAAATAAATACATGTTTTTTAAAAAATAGCAATACTCTCCAAACTGATCTACAGACTCAACCAAACTGCAATCAGAATCCCAGCTAGCTTCCTTGTGGAAACTGACAAGCTAATTCTAAAACCCGAAGGAATTGTCAAGAACCTGCAATTGTAAAGGACCTGGAAAAGAGTAAGTTGAAGGATTCACACTCCTCAATTTCAAAACTTTCTACAGTGCAACAGTAATCAAGGTACTGGCTAGGATGCATAGAATTAAAAAGATATTAACAAGCACTGGTAAGGGTGTAGAGAAACTGGAATCTTGTATGCTGCTGGGCCACATGTACAATGGTACAGTTATTTCAGAAAATAGTCAGGTCCTGAGTTATTGCCTGATCCAGAAATTTTACTTCAAAAGAGAAATGAAAACACAGTCACGCAAAAACTTGCATACAAATGTTCACAGAAGCAATATCCATAACAACTCAAACATCCATCAACTGAAAACAAAAATGGATTTAAGAGGGAAATAAAATGGATAAATAAAATGTTGTATATGCATTTAATGGAATACATACAATGGAAGATTATTTACCTCTTAAAAATTAAAAAACCAGCCCGGCGCCGCGGCTCACTAGGCTAATCCTCCGCCTAGCGGCGCTGGCACACCGGGTTCTAGTCCCGGTCGGGGCGCCGGATTCTGTCCCGGTTGCCCCTCTTCCAGGCCAGCTCTCTGCCGTGGCCAGGGAGTGCAGTGGAGGATGACCCAGGTGCTTGGGCCCTGCACCCCATGGGAGACCATGAAAAGCACCTGGCTCCTGGCTCCTGCCATCGGATCAGCGTGGTGCGCTGGTTGCAGCGCGCCGGCCACGGTGGCCATTGGAGGGTGAACCAACGGCAAAGGAAGACCTTTCTGTCTCTCTCTCACTGTCCACTCTGCCTGTCAAAAAAAAAAAAAATTAAAAAACCAAAGAACTGATACATGCTACAATGTGTGAAAAAAGCTTGAAAACATTATGCTGGGGGCTGGAGCTGTGGCATAGTGGGTAAAGCTGCTGCCTGCAGTGCCGGCATCCCATATG